GAGCATTTCCAGCTGCAGCACCAGTGGGGATGGTGCTGGTGGTTACTGGGAGCACTGGGGCACACATGGTGAAATATGGCTAAAAGCAGCCTCCACTTTTGCTGAAATGAACCTTTTTTGGGTGATTTTTTCTCCTTCCCAAGCCACCCTTCCCTGCCACTGCTCCCCCAAATCCACTCCTGGGGAGTCACTGAGCTCCCTGAGCCCATCCCCTGCCAGAAATGCAGGAACAAAGGACACTTGGCTGCTCTAATTAATGGTGGTGCTGAAAAAAAATGCTGCCTCCCTAGAAATTGGGTGCTTTTTTTGAGAAACAGATAAAAACTGCTAAGATGACAGTTTTTCCCATTTTTCCAGTGAGTGTGTCTGAGGAAGTAGAAGTGCAATAACCTGGGGTACAGCAGGCTCAGCCATTTGAAATAAAACTTTGCAGTACTAATGTTTTTGTAACTGCTTTCATATTGTAATGATATTTTTCCAAGCACTGGTTTTATTTGATCTTAAATACCTTTTTGGGAAAGTCCAGTGAGCTGACTCTAATAAAATCATGCTATTGAAAAAAGGTTTAAGTGGAATGTTCAGAATAAATTACAAAACTGCATGCAAGAATACCAGCTAGTGCTGCCATAAAAATCTGGAAATGAGGATTCTTGCAATATATTTTAAAGAAGTAGTATACTTTTTTTTGTTCATTTTTTTCACAGAATGTTTCATAATAGAAGGCCTTCACAACGTGAAAGGGGGTGAATGAATAAAAAATGAATAAACTGCCAAAGAAATAGCATTAAAAAAAAAAAAACTTCACTATTTTTTTTTCCTGGAGCATATATCTCATATCATTTTCAATAACTTTTAGAAGATAATAGGAAAAGCAATTCTCTTCCATTTTGCTGTACCAAAATACTTGAATTACATCATACTTAGACTGTCAGATTTCACTCTTTGTCTCACATACACATTCAGACCCTTTGTATCAGGAGCTAATAACTGGAAAAGGAGAGAGTTGTTTTTAATCCATGTTCTGGCAAGTCCTGAGTCTGTAAGAAAGGATTTCCAGAATTTAACCAAGGTTTTTCCTGGGTTTCTTCTCTCCAGTCAAATTCCTCTGGCTGAGCACAGCCCTAGGATTAGAACAGAGAGGAGTCACTCCTACATGAGCACCATTTTCTGTCTGACTTCTCCCAGGCATCACCAAAGAATTCCAGCTGTGCCACATCTGTACCTGGAATGGCACAGCCCCAACCCAGGCTGGGTGCAGGTGACAGCGTGACAGGCTGCAAGGAGGGGCATGAGCTTAAAAATCAACCCATGGCAGCCATAGTGCCAGGCCTGCTGCGTTCTTTGCATTTTAACAACCTGACATGAGCAAGTTGCCTCACTGAACTGTTCTTCCACCTGGACTCTCTGCTGGATCCATGTACAGGGTTCCAAGTGCTGAGGAAAGGAGGAGCCAGGCAAAGGAGCCCAAACAGCCCCTGGCTGAAGCAAAAGCTGCTGCTTGAATGCCCAGTCTCGTGGAGCAGAGGGCCTGGTGCTGTCAGTGGCCACCTGGAATCCCTGTGTGTGGCCACACACGAGGAGCAGGAAGATGTGGCCACTTCCTCAGCTCTGGGGACTTTTGACCTGTGGCAGAAGCCTGGAAAGAATCTTCTCAGATTGAATTGCTGTTTAATCTGGGACCTGTTCAAAGCTGCTGGGCTGTCCTGTAGCTCAGTGCCTTCACCAAAAACTTAAATCCTCTTTATTCTTGATGGCTTTGTGCAACCTGCTCAAACATCTCCCAGCAAATGCAGAGAGAAAGAAATAATTCAGAATGAGATTCCTCCCTTTGCCTTATCTTCATACTTCCAGTGCATCCTTCAACCTGAACATCCCCCACTTCAAACCCCACCTGTGCCATTGCTTAACGGGCCCTTTCCTGTCAGTTTTCCCTAAAATCACACTCCTCCTCATGCTGACATCAGGATTGAACCTGAGCCCCAGTGATTCCCTGGCCAGGAGCCTGCATCCTGGCAGGTGTAATGGTTAATGGGACAAAACCAGGAAAAAGGATTAAATTGAGACCCAGGTGTAAGTCTCAAGTGGGAATGAAAGCAGAAAGATGGAAATTATGGGTTCAAGATATTGCACTTGGTACCAGGGGTAAGGTCAGCAGAGGGAATTCTTATCTATTTCAGGGCTTTGGCTGCCTCACTGCAAAACTGTTTGCTCAGAACCAGATGAAATTAAAAATCAGGAGCACAGGGGGAGAACAAAAATCAGGAGCACAGGGGGAGAACATGGATTCGAACAGAGCTGGGGGCTTGCGCTCCTGGCTGGGCTCAAACATTGATAGGAGGGGTGAGAGCAGATTTGGCACTGCCAAAGGAGTGTAAAATGTCTCTTGGGCTGCACAGCATCACACCTGGGACTGGTCTGCTTCACATCTGTGCAGATGTGCTCCTGTCTGCTCAGGAGCACGGACAGCCAGACACAAATGTCACCCATCACCATAACAACAGAGCCCTCATTGTGCTCCCTCACTCTGCTCTGTTTTCCACTGCTCAGAATTGTTGTGGCAGAGAGTGGTAATTTCTTAATTGTGTCTCCTGTCCACTGCAGGAGAAATTAGTGTGTGTAAAGACAACAAAAATGCCATTTAAAGACACAACTCTAAAAACAAAAATGTGAAATTATCAGGTTTGGTGCTATTTTATGTTGAGATACATCAGGCTGAAGCTCATGAATTCAGACCTGACTCCAGTACTGCTGCTTCTTCTAAGTCAGTAAATTCTTCATTTACCCTCTTTCCAAAAATTGAAATCTATTTATTTCCTTAGCACACTGAAGAACTTTAAACACTGATTTATAAAATGGACATGGAGCATTTATAATAAACAAATCATTGCTCAGATTTTGGTTTTTTTGAGGCTTGATGTACACCATGCAGCTGCTGAGCTCTGGCCAAAGCATATTCAGTGGGAAACAGGAATTTGAAATACTGCATCTCAAAGTTCTGATGGGAAAGTCCCACCAGGAAAACCTCTGGGTGCCAAAAGAAGCAGCAATTTTCTTTGTGGAGCAGCCTTGCAATGCTCAACTCTAACTCACACTTTTTTTTATGGGGAACAAATACTTTCTCCACAAATTTTAATGACTACTCATGTTTTTTATTTCAGTAGCTTAAATATTTTTCTTTTATCCCCAGGAAGGGAAAGGGCCAGGGCATTTCATGCTGCTGGCCCCCAGATTTTTTCCATCCAATTTGGGCACTCCAAGGAGAATTTGCTGCATCACAAGCTGAAAGCATTGAGTCCTGACTGCTTTCCTGAAAAACAATATTTTTGTTTCCTTCAGCCTAATTAATCCAGTAACCAATCCAGATGAGCAAGACCTTGAACCAATGCAGAGCCATTGGCAGCTTGAGTGGGATCCCTCAGCCTTCCCCAGATCATTTCAATTGCAGGATGAGGCTCTCCAGCAAATCAGAATCACAGAATTATTTAGACTTGTGAGCCAATGGGAAATAATAATAGTAATAATAATAATAATAATAATAATATACCACCACTGGAGTGGTCTATGCAGAAAGCAGCATTTTTATACCATTAGCCATATCTGACATATCATAGATGATCAGATATAAATTCACACAGAAACCCCTGCTTCCTGTATATTAATTACATTAATTATGCTATAACCCTTGGATGGGAAATATGCTCCTGTGCACAGAGTATACCAAAAGTTCATTATTAAAATTGTATAATGAAACACATCTAAGTTAGGGAAAAGGAGTTGAAGTTTCCTGGGAGATGCTGGATCAGGTCTCTTGTGCCTCCTTCAACCCCTGCTATCTCATCCCCTCATTATAGGTTTTCCATAGGATGCCTGCCTGAGGCAAAACAGAGATTTAACTTGCTCTGGAGGTGACTTGGAATTGTTTTCTTCAGGATTCTTTAATATGCACCCTGAATAATGTTTTATTCATTTAGGGCTTTGTCTTTTCAGAAACATTTGTGGGCTTTCCTGAGTTTTTTGTCTTAAAGACAACAAAATGAAACCAACTTGGTGGTGTCCTACTGAGGGCAGTGAAGCTGTGATGGCCCCCACAAAAAGCAGAGAGAAAATTCCTGGAGCAGCAGTTCAAGGGCAAGTTGGAAAGGGTTTGAAGCAATCTGGGGTAGTGGAAGGAGTCCCTGCAGGGCTGGGATGAGATGATTTTGGAGATCCTTCCAACCCAAACCAGTCTGGGATTCTGTGAATTCTCACACATGACCAGAGTGTGGGCAATTTTACTTCCCAAGATATTTCCTTCTGCAGATATCTCAGATATTATTTCAGGATCTTGGGAAAGGTTTGTTCCAATGGGCCTGACTTTTCTGACTCAGGCAGAGCTTGACACATGCAGCAGTTGTGAAATTGGTGCCTGACACATTCCCAGATTTGATCCATTTTCCCCTGCTCCAGCCTGTCCTTGGAGCAAAGCTCAGTCTCCAGCCATCCCTCTCTCATTCCCACATGCCAGAAATTTAAGCAGCTTCCCTTCAGCACGCAGTCCCACGGGAGAGGGGCAGGAGCAGGAGCTCGAGGGACAATCCCTTCACTGCTGGGTTTTCAGCTGAGTCTCTGGACCTGGCACCACCTGAAGCTTTTGGAGCAGCAGCCATGGAGCATCCAAGCTGGATCTACGCCCAGCATAAGTGGAATCTTCATGAAATTTAGAGAGATTTAAATGCCTCCTGAGCTTCTGGACACTGATTATTTTTTTCCAAAACTTGTAACTCAACCAACTTTAGATGGGATTTTGTGGGAATGCCAGGACATATACCCTTGATCACCTCCCTGCCAAATTCCAAGTCTGCTCAAAAGGTAGGAAGAACTAGCTGATGTTAAAACCCTTCCAAGGGAAGATGGCCATTATTTTTTAAATTGGGAAATTACATTGAAAACCTGCACAGATGGCTGAAAGTTTGAAAAGCCCTTTTTAAAAATTTTTATTATTATTATTATTCCTAGGTCTC